AAATCTGGAAGACAAGTCATTCAGAATGCTTTAGACCACTGTCTGTGAAAAGATGACCTAATACCATTATATACATAAACTTAATAAAAAGTTCTAATTTCTCTTCTCTCTCTCTCTCTCCCCCCTCCCCTCCCCTCCAATAAACTTTTCACATTAAAAAAGTTCTAATTTTACATGGCATCAATAAATGTAAGATTTTGCTTGTATTCATCATGTTCAGTTTAACTCACCCAGAAAGGAAGAGGGCTGAGGGGAGCCCCAAACACAGCCTGCTGACCACACTAAGACTCCTCTGTTCCACCTGTTAGAGTCGGCAAAGGAATACAATCCTTGGGACATGGGATTTTAATAAAGATTCCTGGCACTTTGTCTAGCCCAGTGTAGAATACAAAACACCCATCAAATCTGCACAGTGCTTTCACAAGATAACAATACCTCTTTTGCTAGGTGGATCAGCATTTCTGTGAGGCACCTGGCACCTTGCATAACTCAGTGACTGCCTAACTTCCTTCTAAGAAATTAAATTCTTTTACTTTTACTTTCTATGTAAGGATCAAACCAGAAGCCACTGCAAATGTGATCATAATCAGATTACAAAATCTACAGTTACTGCAATGGCTTCCACACCTCATGCACTCACCTCCTCTTGCTTTGGGCAGCTCAAAACATTGGGCTCTAGCTGTGTCCTCCAGATCTCCTACCCGACCTGCATACCCTTCATGGTGGGAACCACACAGCCTGCCCCAGACCTACTTTGTGCCCTATCTGGGCACACAAAAAAAAATGTGGTGCATGTAAACACACTTGCCTTACAAGGTGGCAGGGCCCCTCCTGTTAATATCTTGAGATACTAAGAACTTTTCTCGACAGACATTGGTGGCGCATGCCTTGAATCCCAGAACTCAGGAGGCAGAGGCAGGAGGATCTCTGTGAGTTCGAGGCCAGCCTGGTCTACAGAGTGGGTTCCGGGACACCCCCCAAACCCAAAAAAAAACCCTGTCTCAAAAAAAAAAAAAAAAAAAGAAAAAAAAAACCATAAAAAAACAAAACAAATAAAGAACTTTTCTCATGTGGTCCGGGACCAAGGAAGAATTCCAAAGGTACTATGGCCTAAACTTGTGTCCCTTTTCTTCATAAATGGAAGCTCTATGCTCTAATAAAGTGGCACTTTAATAAAGTAGAGGTCATTAGGCAGTCTTGGCAGAGCTCCCACATGAGATCAGTGTCCTCAGTAAAAGACCATTCTCCCCAGGCACCTCCTTTCTTTCTCTGTTGGGTGAGGACACAAGTAGAGAGCCATTTGTTTATAAACCAAGAAGATTTCACTAGGACTTGACTTGGACATCAAATCAGCTTCTAGAACTGTGAGAAATGTGTGGCTTATGTTACCAATCTGTAGTAGTTTGTTATAGCAGCCTAAGCTAAGATAAATGGCCAGTCCAGTCAGAGATGCACATAGTTCTTGGAAGAACTGAGTTCCAACGTCAAATAGCAAGTATAGGAGCTGAGCCCTTCATTCCCAGGACATGGGTCTCAGCCCTCTAGAGAGCAGTGACACAGCTAACTCATTCACCAAAGGTGTTGTAATGTCACTCTAAAATGCAAAAAACAGTTTCCTCTAACAAAGGCCGGTATTGCTAAGACTGTAGCCCTGAACTTCATACCACTTACTTTTGACATGAGCACAGAAAACAAGCTGGGCACCTATCTATGGCTTCCATGGGCCCTCCTGCCCCCTTATGCTCTCTGGTGTACTTATGGAGGCTGTATAGGTTTCCTGAAGAGCATCACTGGTGTTTAACCTTCAACAGAACACACAATGCTGTGTGTGCTCAGACAGATGCCCACCTACTTGACTGTCAGCAGGACTCCTTGTTAGGCTACCTCTCAGATTCATATGCTGTCCAATGCTGTGACAACCTTGGCAATGTGGCAAGCTCAACCTTACTCACTCACTCACCAGATTAGTGTGAGAGACTAGCATTGGGAACAAACCTGAGCACCTCTCTCCCCTTCAGGAACCACATTACCACAGGGGCATGTGGCAGCCCTGGTATTGTGAGGGCCCAACCACACATTATCTCTCACTCTAAGATGCGTGGCAGGGCATGAGTGGAACCCAGACTATAGTTCACAAGTAAGTTGCAGGGCCCTATGAACCCTCCCCCATTTATAAAAGCACCTATTTTGGGCCTGTTAGTATCTACAATCTTTCTGTTTGGGGCAGTCTTCTGTGATACATTGCCCAGATGCCCTCTCGCTGGGGCTAGGCACACATGGCCTTTGTCCTAGGATTTTATGGCTATATAGACTGCCACCACAGGCTACACACCTTCTAAGACAGCCCCACATGACTAAAAGCAGAGCAAGAAAGCCTGAGCCTTCTGCCAGCCTGGTGACAGCTCTAAGAAGCGAGAAAAGGCTATAATGGGACATTCTCCTCCAAGTGTGATCAATCATCCCTCAGCTTGCTTTCCTCACCTCCCTCTACTGTATTGTCTCAAGTTTTTTAGTTGCCCTGCAAGACAAGCTCCTGCCTCCCCTGTTAGAATGCAGTCTGACGTACTAAGTCCTAGACACAATCACAGTTTTAGACCCTGTCCATACTCATGAAAGACATCTTCACAGGAACCCACTTTTTGACCTAGGACAATCATCCCAATTAGAGCAATCTTGCTAAACTCAGACTCTTTCAAAGTCCCTAAAGGGATTTTTCTTTGGAAAGGTTTTTCACTATGATCACCCTGGAGCTATCTGAAAACTTCCAGGTAAGTCCCTTGGCACAGGATGGGTGGAGACTCTGTCAAAATTCTCTTTTCTGTTAACTTGCATTTCTGCTCTTCGAACTGCAGTGTTTAATCTGTTTCCCTAGAGCCTGCCTCACCCGTTAAGATGTAAGTCTGGCCACCCTGCTCCAACTATTGCAGGCTTCTTAGCCTAAATCTCAGCTCTTCAGGTAGAAAATGAAGCACCATCCTGGCAATTACCCCCGTAACGTGCTTGCTATGGTTTGATCCACAATACCTGCTAGACTCTGAAGGTGCCCAAAACTCATATTAAAACCTAATCCCCCCCAAAAAAAAACTAATACCCATGTGGCATTGGTGGCTTATGCCTTTAATTCCAAAAACCTAATCCCCCCCCCAAAAAAAAAACTAATACCCATGTGGCATTGGTGGCTTATGCCTTTAATTCCAGCACTTGGGAGGCAGAGGCAGGTGGATCTCTGTGAGTTTGAGACCAACCTGGTCTACAAGAGCTAGTTCCAGGACAGCCTCCAAAGCCACAGAGAAACCCTGTCTCAAATAAACAAAACAAAACAAAGCAAAAACAGACAAACAAAAAAACCTAATCCCCAATGTGGTAGTACTAAGAGGTGGGGGATCTTGGAGTGATTAAGTTATGAGGGCTCTATTCACAGGAATAACTTAGTGACATTTAAACTTGTCTCTTCCTTCTGAAGGGACCAGTGCCCTTCCCTCTTAGGATAGAGCATCCTAGCTGCATCTTAGAAGCAGAGCAGAGTTCTCACCAGAGACCAATACTTGGTCTTTTTCTTTGATGGTGGGAATGGAACCCAGGGCCTGGTACATGTGAGGCAAGTAGCTTTATCACTGAGTTCAAAACCGCTTTCTTAACCTTAGCCTCCCAGACTCTATCTAGATCATGAGAAAGACGCTTGTATCATCTATAAGGAATATAAAAATTTTTTCACAGCAGTACAATCAGGACTTGGCCCCAAGTGCCGTGATGGTGGCAATGTGAAGAAGCTGATACCTCAAGACTTCATTGCTGCAAAATAAAACACACTGCTCTAAGTACTGCAACTAGACCTCCAAACTCCTCAGCCTGACTCTCTGATTCTGGGCTGCCTCTACAAATAGACCCTGAGGGTTGTGAAAAGTCAAATGTCATCGGGCTCACCCAAGTGAGGTGCTCCAGGCTATATCCTCCCCTCTGGAACTTACAATCTCGGTTGTTATGGACTTAGAGACAAGAATGAGATGTAAACATTTTTTACTTTTAACCAATCATCCATAAGCTAGTCAATATTTAAGCTATTTCAAGATTTAAATCCAGGAACTTCTAAGAGACTCTGTTGAACTTGCACAAACCCACTGCCTTCAACCTCTGCACCTCCACATGTAAAGGCCTCTATAAGAGTACATCTGTGCAGCCTTGCCCCTCCCATGCACACAGGAACGTGCAAGCCATATATATACCACCCCCACACAACATACAAAAGGAAGCTCCTTATCAAACATAGTTTTCCTTTACAAACATGAACAGTGACTTATGACCTTAGGATACAATTTTAATAATAATTCAGTGGATTCTAATAATAAAATCATAATATGCATTATTAACAGCTCATATAGTATTTGTGCGTGTTGGTGTGCCTGTGCACTATGATAATTCTGTGAACAGACACCCAGCTTTTCACAGCATTCCTTAGGCTGTGTCTTGTATGAACAAGGAAATGAGCCTAAGACATTACCTGTTCCAGGCTGGAAACTGCTGTGCATCTCACAGGAAAGGGGACACCAGAGGAAAATAACAGCAGCACCCACATGCCTCAGGCCTGCCAAGTCCTACTGTCTTATTCTTTCCACAACACAGCATAGCAGCAGAGCCAACAAAGAATATTCTTGGTGCGTCAGACACCACAGTTCTAACAGCATCTCCTTGCTATCACAATCCCATCCTAGGCCTGGTATAAATCCTGCCACTGTAAGTGACGGTCAATCACATTTCACTTTATTTTTATCTTTTTGAAACAAGGTCTCTCCACATAACTCTAGTCTTGAACTCAGAGATCTACCTGCCTCTTCCTCCAGAGTCCTGGAATTAAAAGCATGCCTGGTTGATACTCATACATTAAAACCATTTTAAACAAGTATTTCCACTCAACAGGCTGCTTTACATCCATCCCCAGAGAGGCTCCAGGCAGGCTTTATTTTGTGACAGGGTATAAAACAGCTTCCATGGAGGATGATTACCTTTAACAAGCAACTTGTCTCTCACAGAAACCCTCCGAGTGGAGTCAGATGTGGAGGCTGATGTCCGGGATCCTTTGAGGCCGTCATCCCGCTTCAGCTTGCTTGCCAGCGTTAGCATTACTGCCACCTTTCCTCTGGAAGACAGGAGAGAGCAGGGTTAAGTAAGGCATGTCTCTAGACAATAACTAGACAGGAGAAATATACAGGTGTTTCTACTTTAGATTTTTCTCTAAAATGTGTAGAAAAATTCTACACATACATATTAACTGGATTCCTTTACAATAAATTTCAATAAGTCATGTGATTCTTTGTAAGTTTAGGCGAACCACAAGTTTCATACTCACTAGACACAAAGTGAGGGCTAATTCAATCATAATCGAGCCCCACCCACCCCCAAACCTCCCAACCAGCGCTCATTCACTACCCCCACTGTTTCAAATGAAGTAACTGTCCCTGCAGCAATGAGATTCAGGTGTGCCCTGGGAGCAGAAGTCCCTAGGGCAGAAGTGACACCTGATGCAGAGTCTTCAAAGGACTGTTGCATTTATTGATTTACAGTGTCAACATCAAGAGCAAATTATAATACCCTAAACTGGACTGTCTTCACTGGCTGCTTCCAGCCCTTGAGTTTCAGGTTCTCCTACTGCAAACTCTCTGGCAAGGACAGCAAAATCCACAGGCAGGTGAAGTAATCCACCTGACTGCCTGCATAAAGGGTGAAACAACTGCCACCCACTCCGTAAGCCTTCCACTGTTAGAGCAGCATTAGAGCAACAGAACGGTTGGGAGAAGGCACAGGCACTTCCCATGCAATCCTCTCCTCAGCCCCAAGAGCAGCATTCCCTACAAGAGGCTTTATTTGTTCTAACTGATGGGCCTGTGTGTGAAGGCATTATCACCCAGAGTACAATTTACATTAGGATGTCAGCAATTCCTACCTCCAGAATCTGCCTTCTGTTTCTATTACACCCTTCCATCAGCCAGACATTCCTCATACTTGACACCCTCACTCTAGCAAGAGTTCAATATCTGCACGTTTTAAAATTCCTTTCAATACTGGTTTGATAATTTTTCAATCTAAAATTTTCCAGGTCAAACTTGAAAACAAGGATATTCCTCTCTTCACTGGTACTTTAAAACATCTCAAACCCAGGTCTTTTGCCTAGTTTCTCAAGCCACCTTTTATGTATCCCTAGTGAGGGTCAGATTTTATTTTGTACCACATATCACAAAAACAAGACAGTGAATATGATCTTCCAAACTGTACATGGCCATACTTAGGACTGGTCACACTGATCACAGTGGCACATAACTGTAACATCAGTATTTGGGAGGCCAAAGCAGGGAGACTTGTCAGTTGGAAGCTAGCCTAGGCTACAAAGGGAGATCATGTGCCAACAAGCAAAATAAAAAACATCAAAACAAGTAGCATTTGTCTAAATGCACCAAACAATTCTTGTATTGCATATTAGTATGAAAAAACTCATAGCATTGAAATCTGGGAAAGATTCCTATCACACACACACACACACACACACACACACACACACACACAGAGGCGCATGCCCATGTGGGCCCTGGAACAACAGGCATGGAGAGTGAGTGCCTAAGACACTCACTCAGCTACAAGAAGCCCTCACCACAAAAACCTAGTTTTCCTCTGGATGATGTGTTGTAAGTGTGGTCATGGTGCCAGGTTTACACACAGATCAATCATGAAGTGATGGGGCAGTGCAATCATATCACAGTACAATTGGCAAACATATGAAAGCACACTGGCACCTGTTCCTTCCATCCCACTCCACAACGCCTTCTCCTCAGGGGCATCTACATCCAGAGATGAGCCAAGTACCAACACATACATCTTCAAGTCTTTATTTCAGACACAGCTATGGTTCCACTGCTAAGTCACTTCCCCCGGGGAGACTTCAGTCCAAAAGCTACCAGAACAGCACAACACAGCAATGCTTTCCTGCCTTGGCCCACACCTGGAATGATCTTGTCAGAATTTCTCTAATGGGACCATGAGGTAGTGTGTTTGCCACCCTGAAGTCCAAGTCCACCATGTGCTCAGACCTTGGGACATCAGGGGTGCCCGACAGTGCAGGGACCAGTGAGGAGTATGGGATGCTCTACATGGGGAGCATCAGACTTTCACCTTTGGTGTCAGTAAAGCAAATGGTGGGAAAGTGAAAAATAAAAGCAGTGATTAATTGTTTAGTAGGCAGTCCCCTAGTGGTCACAGAGTTTTGTGGAAAATGAAGCCAGGGCACAAGCCACTCCTCAGGGACCTGGCAAGGGTCAGGCCTTCTCCACACTGCTGCTGCACTTAATGCTTTCCTACCCCTCATCTACACTGAGGCCTTCTCTGAGGCCGAGGCATGCTCTGCTCTGGAAGGTTATAGATTCTAGCTTGTGATCCTCAGTAAATTGTGGACTTTAAATAAAACATGTTGTGCAAAGACCACGCATGATAGAAACACTGGTGCTGTCCCCACAGAAAACACAACGTGCACCTTCTAATATTCTAAGGAACGTAAGACTAGAGTAGCCACCATTTTTCTGTCATCTGTGTCACTTTCACATGCCACAGGAGGAACAAAGCAGTCTCAATCGAGAAATGGCCCTGTAATCAGAAAAGTAAATCTATACAAAGGGAACAAAAATAATTAAACTATCTAAAGGCTAGTAGACCACCTGCGGTTGCCTCAGAATTCTCAACACGTCCCACCTCTGGAAAACCTGACTTTAACCCCAACTTCCCGTTTCTTGAAAATCACACTGTGACTAAGGCAGTATTTTTGGGAACAGATCTATTCTGAACAGAATGCTCAGTGTCTAAATTCCACAAGTTGTAATTGGCCCAGTTAGTTCCTCCTCTGGGTGGGACCGGTTTTAGGCCATCCACCAAAGAAGATTCCAGCTTGTTATTTACCAGTCTCATCAAGTCCTGTTTACTCAGCATTCCTAGGTGCTTTATCAGGCCCGTGTGTCTCACCTGTCAGTCAGAGCCAGTCAGCTCAAGGTGAGGCTAACGCCTCACAAACCATTCCAATCCAAGTCCCAATCGAACCATTTAAATCAGAACTACGGGTCACTAGGGACACTTACTTAACCTCCCAAGCCTAAGGAAACAGATGAGGACATAAAAATGTCCACACCCCAGTGCAGTACTGCATGACAGTGCCCAGGGTTCTCTTGCCTACGAGGTTTACTGGCAGACCACCTCAGAAGCCCATCTTTGATTTCGGGTACCGAATGCCAGGTAGTTCCGCCCAGGTGGGGTTCCTGAAGCTCCCCCATCACTATCAGCTCTCTTCATTTCCAACGTTGTCTCTCTCCCTCCCGCGGCCGAG